TTAGTTTGAAGACTAACCTTTTGTGAGGAACCATATCAAATGCCTTGGCAAACTCCAAGTAGATCACATCCATTGCAACACCCTGATCTATACTTCTACTTACTTCTTCGTAGAATGCAATTAGGTTAGTTTGACATGACCGATGTTTCATAAAACCATGCTGATTATTGCTAATAACAAAGTTCTTCCCAATGAATTCCTGAATATTATCCCTTAATAGCCCTTCAAATATTTTCCCAGTTACAGACGTTAAGCTCACAGGTCTATAATTTCCAGGCAAGGATTTTGAACCCTTTTTAATTATAGGAACAACATCTGTGGTTGAGAAAGAGAACGGCAAAGAGGGGAGAATTGTTTCCTTAGCTGTTCAATCTTGTTGGTAAAGTAGCATGCAAAGCTATCAGCTGTAAGGTTAGTTGAGACGTAAAGCAGCGGAGGTATTGCTCAAGGCTTTGATTAGTCCGTTCAGCAGCATCATTGGTCTGTGGATGATAAGCAGAGGAGAAAGCGAGCTCAATACCCATGTCTTTGCAAAAGCCCCTCCAAAACGTTGAGATAAATTGTGAGCCCCTATCAGACACGATTATGTCAGGCATACCGTGTAGACGTATTATTTCCTTAGAGAATATGTTGGCTAATTCAGCAGAAGACGGTAACTTCTTTAATGGAATGAAGTGTGCCATCTTAGAAAAACGATCTACTACAACCAAAATAACAGTAAAACCTTTCGATTGTGGTAGTTCTACAATAAAATCCATAGATAATTGTGATCATGGGACAGACGGTAGAGGAAGAGGATGCAGAAGACCACATGGTACTTGATGAGAAGGTTTGGACTGAGAACATACATCACAGGACGATACATAGGCTTGTACGTCCTTCCTGAGGGCCACCAATACTGCCGGGCAATTAAATCAATAGTCTTGGACACCCCCATGTGTCCAGCCATTTTGCTGTCATGGTAGTGGCAAAATACTTCTCCTCTTAAATTAAAAGGGAACAAAATAATTCTCAGCAGGTTTGTCAACCGGCGCCCTCTCTTGAGCCTTTTGAATTTTGTGCAGAAAGGGAGATGAAACTCTGGTTCTAGTTACTGCAATAATTCTCTCAGGGGGTATATCGGGTTCAGTTATTTCCTCCTCCTAATCGAGAGTAGCAAATTGTCTGGACAGTGAATCGGCTTTGATATTACGACGCCCTGGTCGATATGAGATTAGATAGTTAAAACGGGAAAGAAAAAGAACCCAGCGTACCTGTCTGGAAGAAAGTCTTTTGGCGTCACTCAAATATTATAAATTCTTATGATCAGTAAGAACCATGAGAGGTATGGAAGAACCTTCAAGTAAGTGACGCCATTCTTTATGTCATGGTAGTTTACCCCTACTCGCAAGATTTAGTTCAACAATCGACAGATTGATATGAAGATACGGCTTACTGGACCTTAGAATGGCCGGACTCGCCGTATATCAGAGAATAGACAGAGTCAAGAACAAGCCGAGGTCAAGGGAACAAAGAGACTGCGAGAACAAAAACTAGCCAAGGTCTGGTACACAGTAGTCAGTAAGCCGGCAAACAAGACAAAACAGGGATAGAGAGATAAACGGAGTCAGATACAAAGCCAAGGTCAAGCACGAAAATCACAACTGAACACAACAAGCGCTAAAGGGAACTGAAACAGAAACCACAATAGGGCAGGGAGTTAAGGGAGAGGTAAGTATAAATACCCTAAACTTTACTTTGATTGGCCCCTGTCATATCCACGCCCCCAAAATGTGAGTGTCTGGGGAATGTGGGATGACAGGAGCCAATGGGAGCACATTTCATCTTTTGGCTCCCACTGCCCCTTTAAGAGCATGCCCGATACGCGCGGCACACTCCTAGAGCTAGGCGGGACACGTGACCGCATCGCGCGGACCGTGCATGCCTTCAGTCGAGAGCCGCGCGCGGCGGGAAGTGAGGACCTCGGCCGGCCCCCGGGTAAGGTAAGTACTGCTACAGTACCCCCCCTGAAGACAGGCCCACCGGGCGGGGAGGACCAGGCCTGGCAGGAAAACGAGAATGGAAGGAACGCACAAGGCGAGGAGCATGAACAGCGTCAGCGGAAAGCCAACTGCGTTCCTCAGGCCCATAACCCTTCCAATGCACCAGGTACTGGAGTCGACCCCTGAGAAAACGAGAGTCAAGTACAGCAGCTACTTCGAATTCCTCATGACCCTCCACAGAAACAGGAGGAGGAGGAGGAACATGCTGGGCATAGCGGTTACACAGGAGGGGCTTCAACAAGGAGGTGTGAAAGACGTTAGGAATACGCAGGTTCTTGGGAAGATCCAAGGCATATGAAACAGGATTAACTCTATGCAAAACACGGAAAGGACCTATAAAACGGGGGCCAACTTCATAGAAGGCACACGAAGGCGGATATTGCGAGTGGAAAGCCAAACCCTGTCCCCCACGACATAGGACGGAGCCGCTCTGCGATGTTTGTCAGCTTGAACCTTTTGGCGAGCAGCGGAGTCCACCAAAGAACACTGAACCAGCTCCCAAGTAGTACGTAAACCAGCTAAATGTTCATCCAGAGCTGGCATGCCCTGTAAGGAGAATGCAGCTGGAAGAACAACAGGATGCCGGCCATAAACAATGTAGAAAGGGCTTTTACCGGAAGACTCATGAGCAGCGTTATTACGAGCAAATTCAGCCCAAGGAACCAGGTCAGCCCAATTGTTCTGATGGTGGGATACGAAAAAAAAGAAGATACTGCTCTAGGGACTGGTTGGCACGTTCAGCAGCTCTAGTAGATTGGGGGTGGTAAGCGGAGGAAAATGAGAGAGAAATACCCATCTCTGAACAAAAAGCTCTCCAGAATCTGGAAATGAATTGGCTACCCCTATCGGATACAATAGATATAGGAATGCCATGCAACCGAAACAGCTCCCTGGCGAAGATAGAAGCAAGTTCCTTGGATGAGGGCAATTTGACAAGAGACACAAAATGAGCCATCTTAGAAAATCGATCCACTATCATCAGGATGACTGTTTTGCCATTCGAAGGAGGCAATTCAACAATGAAATCCATTGTTGAATTGGCCTCTCAGGTATGGGCAACGGGTGCAACAACCCACAAGGAACTCTATGAGAAGACTTCATACTGGCACATGTAGTACATGCCCGAACGTAATCGGTGATATCCTTGCGTAAGGAAGCCCACCAAAAATATCTAGAAACTGCTGTTAAGGTTTTAGAAACCCCAGGATGTCCAGCAGTTTTGGCGTCATGATATAATGACATAATGTCCCGTCTTTCGGGAACATCAACAAACAGTTTATCAGTAGGTTTCTCACTGGGTGCCATGTTTTATTTAGCCTGTATAACTTGTAAGAGTGATGAAGAAATAGATAGAACCGTAGTAGCTATTATTCTGTCCGGGGGAATGACAGGGGTATTATCAAACTCTTGTTTGTCGGTAGTTTCAAATTGTCTAGACAGAGCGTCAGCTTTAGTGTTACGATCACCTGGTCTGTAGGTGATGATATAATTGAAATGAGATAAGAACAGTGACCACCTGGCCTGCCTAGAAGACAATCTTTTGGCTTCACTAAGGTAGGAAAGGTTTTTGTGATCTGTAAAAATGAGGATGGGGTCCTTACAGGGCCGGACTGGCCCACCGGGATAGCGGGAAATTTCCCGGTGGGCCGTCGGCACCTGGGGCCGGGCAGCCAGCTGGCTCACCTGCGGCCGCAGAAGGAGCTCCTTTGGCGGCCGCAGGGTTTGCTGGCTGTTCTTGCGGCCGCAGGTGGAGCTGGCTGTTGTGTCTCTGCTCCCCCTCCCCTGCGCGCCGCTTAATGAGACCGGGGCCGGAGTATGACGTCATCTTCCGGCCCCGGTCTCATTAAGTGGCGCGCAGGGGAGGGGGAGCAGAGGCACAACAGCCAGCTCCCCCTGCGGCCACAAGAACAGCCAGCAAACCCTGCGGCCGCCAAAGGAGCTCCCTCTGCGGCCGCCAGAAGAGCTCCCCACAGGTAGAAATTGTGTATGTGTGTGTGTGTTTCTGTGTCATTTGTGTGTGTGTCTGTCTGTCATGGTGTGTGAGTGTCTGTCTGTGTCATGGTGTATGTGTCTGTCTGTGTCGGCAATGTGTGTCTGTGTCATTGTTTGTGTCTCTGTGTCATGGTGTGTGTGTCACTGTCTGTCATGGTGTGTGTGTGTGTGTGTCTGTCTGTGTCATTGTATGTGTCTCTGTGTCATGGTGTGTGTGTCTCTGTCTGTCATGGTGTGTGTGTGTGTCTGTCTGTGTCATGGTGTGTCTGTCTGTCATGGTGTGTGTGTGTTTGTCTGTGTCACGGTCTGTCTGTGTCATGGTGTGTGTCTGTCATGGTATGTGTGTGTGTATGTGTGTTTTTACTCACCTTTTTTTTTTTTCACGTCATGCTGGTCTCCCCTCGCCTGGCTCTGCCTCTACGGCTGAGATCATCAAGCTTGATGATCTTAGCCAATCCGCACTGACACAGGAAGCACCTCTAGTGACCGTCTGAGTGTCTGTCACTAGGAAGCAATGTAAACAGTGGCGTACATACCAGGGTCGCAGGGGTCGCGGCTGCGACCGGGCCCGGCCCACCAGGGGGCCCGGCCGCCCCTGCGACCCGGTATGTACCCACAGGGCCAGCCTCTTCCCCTGGGGGGCCCAGGAGCCGACCACCCCAGGGCCCTCCGAGGCTGGCCCTGCTGTCACCCGGCAGGCGGGTGGCTGGTTGGGCAGGCGGGCGCGCGAGGGAGCACTCAGTGCTTCCTCTTCAGCTCCCTCGCGCACCGCACTGATACCGGAGCCGGAAGATGACGTCATCTTCCGGCGCCGGCATCCCTACGCGGCGCGCAAGGGAGCTGAAGAGGAAGCACTCAGGGGAAAGTGCCACATGTGTGAGTGTTAGAGTGTGTTAGTGTGTGTTAGAGTGAGTGTTAGAGTTAGTGTGAGTGTTAGAGTGTGTGTTAGTGTGTGTTAGAGTGAGTGTTAGAGTTAGTGTGAGTGTTAGAGTGTGTGTTAGTGTGTGTTAGAGTGAGTGTTAGAGTTAGTGTGAGTGTTAGAGTGTGTGTTAGTGTGTGTCTGCTAGTGAGTGTTAGTGTTAGTGTGTGTGAGTGTTAGTGAGTGTTAGTGAGTGTTAGTGTGTGTGTCTGCTAGTGAGTGTCAGTGAGTGTGTTACTGTGTGTGTCTTACTGAGTGTGTATGTGTTAGTGAGTCTGTTTGATGTCTGTTAGTGAGTGTGTGTTTGTCAATGAGAGTGTATGTTTTGTAAGTGAGTGTGTATGTATGTCTGTCGCTGAGTGTGTCTCTGTTAGCTAGTGTGTATGCGTCTGTGTGTGTGTGTGTCTTCAGCACTTACCTTTCTCCAGCGCCGGACTCCCTTGGCGCTGAGGATCCCTCAGCCTCTCAGCTCCGAATGCGACCGCGCACGCATTCAAACCGCCCATAGGAAAGCATTACTCAATGCTTTCCTATGGACGTTCAGTGTGCTCCTCTAGCGGCTGTCAGTGAGACAGCCGCTAGAGGCTGGATTAACCCTCAGTGAAACATAGCAGTTTCTCTGAAACTGCTATGTTTTCAGTTGCAGGGTTAAAACTGGAGGGACCTGACACCCAGACAATTTCATTGAGCTGATGTGATCTGGGTGTCTGTAGTGGTCCTTTAAAGGACCACTATAGTGCCAGGAAAACATACTCATTTTCCTTGCACTATAGTGCAAAACTGCTATGTTTATGAAAAAATGGGTTAACCCTAGCTGGACCTGGCACCCAGACCACTTCATTAAGCTGAAGTGGTCTGGGTGCCTAGAGTGGTCCTTTAAGTGTGTGTGCATCTGCATGCACTGGCGTACATACAGGGGTCGCAGCCCTGTAAGCCCTGCGACCAGGTGCCCACCGCCATGTGTTGCGGCCCGGCCCGCGCGTGCGCGGGGGTGGGGGGGCCACGGATCAATTTTCGCACCAGGGCCCTATGGGTCATGTGTACGCCACTGAATGTAAACACTGCCTTTTCTCTTAAAAGTCAGTTTTTACATTGAAAAGCCTGCAGAGACAGGCTATAGACACCAGTACCACTACATTAAGCTGTGTGTGTGTGTGTGTGTGCGTGTGCCTGCTACTGAGTGAGCTTGTGTTTTTATGTCAATAACCTTATGTATGAGGCTGTGTATCAATCAGCTTGTGTCAGTGAGATTGTCTGTGTCTGCATGTGAGTATGCTTACTGTATAATTAAAAATTTGCCATCTCCTGACGAAAGCTTGAGGGGATCAAGCTGAAACGTTGACCTTGTGTTGTTTTAGTGGAGGTAATAAAAGTTATATTTTATATTAGTCCTTGGAGTGCTATCTCTGGCAATATTTTTTGCATTTTTTTCTGACAAGCACCGGGCATTGAATATTGAATTGGTGGAGTGCCAGATCCGTTTGGTTTATATATATATATATATATTTATATATATATATATATATTACTCAATCATCTAGGGTTGCAAGACATAGCCTTACATATTACATGCGACAATATATGGCGCAATGACTTATGGGGCTGGCATAGATTTTTTTTCCAGGGCTGCTTTGGAATCCCCAGTCCGGCCCTGGGTCCTTAGTACCTTCTTAAAGATGTCTCCACTCCTTGAGTGCTAAAACAATAGCAAGGAGTTCTCGATTGCCTATGTCATAGTTCTTTTCGGCTTTGGACATCTGTTTGGAAAAGAAGCCACAAGGATGTAATGGCTTATCCGGTGATTCTCTTTGAGATAAGACAGCACCTACCCCAATATCCGAAGCATCAACTTCAAGAATATAAGGCAAAGAAGGGACGGGATGCTGTAAAATAGGAGCAGAGGCAAACGTGGATTTAAGAAATTCAAAGGCCTCAAGCGCCTCTGGGGACCAGACACGAGTATTGCCATCCTTTTCAGTCATGCGTGTTATAGGCGCTACAATAGAAGAAAATCCTTTAATAAAGCGTCTATAATAGTTAGAAAACCCAAGAAAACGCTAAATTACTTTCAGTCCCTGAGGTAAAGGCCATTCCATGACAGCAGAAAGCTTCTGGGGATCCATACGAAAACCTTTAGCAGAAATTACATAACCTAAAAACTGTACTTCGGATTGGTCAAATAAACATTTTTCTAGTTTACAATAAAGACCATTAACAAGAAGGGTTTTCAAGACTGTTTTAACATGCATGTGATGGGTATGTAAATCTGTTGAATATATTAATATGTCGTCCAAGTACACTATCACAAATGAGTGAATGAACTTTCGTAAGACGTCATTGATAAATTATTGAAACACTGCTGGGGCGTTACAAAGACCGAATGGCATCACAGTATACTCGTAATGACCACTCCTAGTATTGAAGTTTTCCACTCATGGCCCTTTTTTATACATATGAGATTGTATGCACCTCTAAGGTCCAATTTGGTAAACACAGTAGCTTGTTTAAGCCTGTCGAATAATTCCGTGATTAATGGTATAGGGTAAGGGTTTTTTATAGTGATTTTATTTAGGCCCCTATAATCAATACAAGGGGCCTTCGATACAAAGAAGAACCCTGCCCCTGCCGGAGAAGAGGATCTCCTTATAAATCCCTTTTGTAGAGATTCTTTAATATATTCCTCCATGACAAGATTTTCTTGTGGAGACAAAGGATACACCCTGCCTTTGGGAGGTATAGTGCCAGGCAATAAATCAATAGCACAATCGTAGGGTCTATGAGGCGGTAATCTTTCAGCCTCCCTTTTATCGAACACAGACTTAAGACACATGTACTGAGGAGGTATAATAGTAGACAAAGGAGGAGTAGTAGGAACATTAATAGAATTTAAAGGGGTGATTTTAACGATACAAGACTCTTGGCAGGTTTCACTCCAAGATACTATTTGTCCTGACTCCCAGTCAAAAATGGGATTGTGAGAACGTAACCATGGGTACCCTAACACAATGTGAGAGGAAGGAGAGGTGATGACCTGAAACTGAATGGTTTCTGAGTGTAACATCCCTGTATACATATGCAACGGTTCATGTGTGATAACTGGGGAGCATAATGGTCTACCATCTATGGCCTCAACGGCCATGGGTGTTTTCTTCTCTCTAATGGGTATTTTGTTTTTCCTAACAAATCTAGAGTCTATGAAATTCTCAGCTGCCCCGGAATCAACCAGGGCTAGTATGTTTCTTGCTATGCAATTATTCTCCAGATGCAGAGAAACAGGGAGAAGCAGTTGATTAAGAGGCAATTTTGGGGACTTAGATATCACACCCAAGGCCAGTCCCCTATATGGCCTTAGGTGCAATAGTTTTCTGGAAGCACGGGACATTCTTTTAGCATATGACCCTTCTTACCACAGTATAGGCAAAGTCCCTCCTTTCTCCTATACAATTTTTAAGCATCAGAGAGTTTGGCAACCCCTAATTGCATGGGTTCCTCCTCTGATACCTTGGAACTCTCAGGATTAGCAACTCTAGGAGTATTTAATGTAGCAAAACGTCTATTCCTATTCTTAGTATACAGTCTATCACGAATCATATTGTCTATATCAATGAGATAGTCGATAAGTTCCTCTAATGGGATAGGAAGATCCCTAGCTGCTACCTCATCCAATATAGTATCAGATAGTCCTTCCATGAATGCTGTAGTTAGCCCATTGTTGGTCCAATCTACCTGCGAAGCAAGGGTACGAAACTGAATAGCATAATCAGCAACAGACCTAGAACCCTGTTTAATTCTCATTAATGCCCTGGCGGCATTCTTTGACCTTTTAGTTGTGTCAAAGGTTCTACGAAAAGCCGTAAGGAAGCTATCGAAATTATGCACCATAGGTCCATTAGCCTCCCATATAGGATTTGCCCACTCAAGTGCTTTATCAGTAAGTTGGTGCATAAAGAATCCCACTTTAGACCTGTCAGTGGGAAAGGAACGTGGATACATCTCAAAGTGGAATTCCACTTGATTAATGAATCCCCTGCAAGACTTAGCTTCCCCTCCATACCTGGGTGGAGGTGTTAAATGTGCAGAAGAATTAGGCATGGTGCATACATCTGGAACAAGGGGTGCAGGAGGAGTTGGTACTGTTACCGGAGTAGTTCTAGATAAGTGTGTCTGGAGGGCCTGAGCTATCTGATCCATACGGTGATCCTGCTCTGTAAATCTAGCCTCATGAGAAGCCAATTGCTGACTTAAATCTGCGGGGTCCATGGCCCTATCGTAATGTCATGGTAGTTTACCCCTACACGCAAGATTTAGTTCAACAATCGACAGATAGAGCAGATACGGCTTACCGGACCTTAGAATGGCCGGACTCGCCGTATATCAGAGAATAGACAGAGTCAAGAACAAGCCGAGGTCAAGGGAACAAAGAGACTGCGAGAACAAAAACTAGGCAAGGTCTGGTACACAGTAGTCAGTAAGCCGGCAAACAAGACAAAACAGGGATAGAGAGATAAACGGAGTCAGATACAAAGCCAAGGTCAAGCACAAAAATCACAACTGAACACAACAAGCGCTAAAGGGAACTGAAACAGAAACCACAATAGGGCAGGGAGTTAAGGGAGAGGTAAGTATAAATACCCTGAACTTTACTTTGATTGACCCCTGTCATATCCACGCCCCCAAAATGTGAGTGTCTGGGGAATGTGGGATGACAGGAGCCAATGGGAGCACATTTCATCTTTTGGCTCCCACTGCCCCTTTAAGAGCGTGCCCGAGACGCGCGGCACGCTCTTAGAGCTAGGCGGGACACGTGACCGCATCTCGCGGTCCGTGCCCGCCTTCAGTTGAGAGCCGCGCGTGGCGGGAAGTGAGGACCTCAGCTGGCCCCCGGGTAAGGTAAGTACCGCTACACTTTAAGAGCTAAGATTATAGCTAATAATTCTCTATTACCTATATCGTAATTCTTTTCTACAGGTGTCAATTTATGAGAAAAGAACCCACAAGGATGCAACAGAGCGGTTGGAGACTCCCTCTGGGAAAGGATAGCTCCCACACCGGATTCAGAGGCACCTACTTCAAGTTTGAAGGGTCTAGAAGGATTTGGGTGTACCAGGACAGGAGCAGATGCAAAAGCTTTCTTTAAGGAGGCCTTAGCATCTATTGACCAATAGACGTGATCTGCTCCCCTTTTAGTCATAGCAGTATTTGGAGCTATTATCTGAGAAAAGTTTTTGATGAAATGTCTATAATAATTGGCGAACCCAATCTCTGTATGGACTTTAGTCGAATGGGTAAAGGCCATTCGAGAATGGAAGATAGTTTTTTTAGGGTCCATTTGAAACCCTTCAGCAGATATTATGTAACCCAAAAAGTAAATGGAAGTTTGATCAAATAAACATTTCTCGAGTTTACAATGCAAGCCATTGGCAAGAAGTGTCTTTAATATGCCTCTGACCTGTCTGTGATAAGTTGGTATATCAGGAGAGTGAATGAGTATATCGTCACGATATACAATAGCACAAGTGTGTAAATAGTTCCTTAAAACATCATTGATGAGATCTTGGAAGATGGCAGGAGCATTACACAGACCTAAGGGCATGACGGTGTATTCATAATGGCCACTTCGGGTGTTGAATGCCGTCATCCACTCATCTCCCTCTTTGATGCGAACAAGATTGTATGCTCCTCTAAGATTTAGTTTGGTAAATATTTTAGAACCACAAAGCTTGTCAAAGAGTTCTGTTATCAAGGGTATGGGGTAAGCATTCTTAAGAGTAATCTTATTTAGGCTTCTATAATCTATACATGGGCGAAGATCCCCCTCTTTTTTAGAAACATAAAAGAAACCCGCCCCTGCTGGAGAAGAAGAACGTCTAAGGGACGTACTAGGGATTCTTGTATGTACTCCTCCATAACCTTATTCTCTATTTGAGATAGTGGGTATAGTCTTCCCTTGGGTGGCATGGTGCCAGGAATAAGCTTGATGGCACAATCGTAGGGTCTGTGAGCCTCAGAAAGCCTCAGAAAGTCTGGTAGTACCTAATTGCATCAGGTTCAAGTGCCGGTAAGGCTGGAAGTCCGGTTACCATAGGACGAGGAGCAGTTCACCCTAAAGCCCTTCTTTTCCTATCTAGATGGAGATGTTTCTGCCTGACCCTTTAAATATACTGTATCAAATCCTCGAGGAGCTCTGGAAGATCTCTAGCTGCCACCTCATCTTGTAAGGATTCAGTGAGTTCCTCAAAAAAAACAAAAAAAAAACTGCTGTCAGGGCACTATTATTCCAGGTTACCTCAGAGGCTAATGCACGGAATTCAATGGCATAGTCGGCCACAGATCTAGATCCTTGTTTTATTTACCATCTAATAAGTTCATGATAAACTCTATCCACTCGGATCTGCTGTCAGCAGAGCTCAGGGCAGCGCTGTGCACAGCATCCTGTGATTCAGTATCTCCTCCCTCTGCATGCAGACACTTAACTTTCCTCATAGAGATTCATTTATTCAATTCATCTCTATGAGGAGATGCTGATTGGCCAGGGCTGTGTTTGAATCATGCTGGCTCTGCCCCAGATCTGCCTCTTTGTCAGTCTCAGCCAATCCTATGGGGAAGCATTGTGATTGGATCAGGCTATCACATGTCAGCAGACTGCTTGTTTTATCTGAGTCTAACAGCATGCAGATTTACAGCTTCTGGCTTGAATACAGTAAGATTTTTACTATATTTATGGAGGCATGAGGGGCCCAGTGGGGCTAGATGGTCGTGTTAACACGATAGGGTCAGGAATACATGTAGTTGCACTGGTGACTATAGTGTCCCTTTAACAACTGTCTAAACACCACTAGTACATCATTCTCATATGACATATAAACTTTAAACATTTAATTAATTCCTCAATGTTTATTTCACTCCCCTTTATTAGAGTTGTGCCAAATAACATATCCCTTATTTCTAACCGATAATCAGGGCACCTTGACATAAAGGGTTAATAACCCTTTTGAAATTTTACTATCGGTTAAATCAATTCAGGAGGCTGGACTAACAGCCCATTGGACCATTTAAATCTAACTGCCATCAATTAACTTTCAGTACCACCTAAATTAACCGGTATAATGATGCATCCGGTTCCCCTCTGATGAGCTTATAAACGAAACGCGCGTCAGGGCGATCAGAGCTTTATTAATTGACCACCTACCTATCCAGACTTTACAGCAGCATTCTCATCCACATCGCTACTCTGTATTGATAACTCTTTAACTCTTGGATGTGCCGAGTATCTTACACCTGCACTGGCTATAACATATTCCACACTTACCCTCTGCTGACTTTCTCTCCCCATCAACGTGGGGGGTGGTTTCTCTGTTACCTACCAGTCAGGGAAAGAGTTTGTATAAGGGGTTCCCTCGAAGGCACAACAGGGAGAGTTACATTATACTTGTGTTATACCAACCTGTCTTCTCCCTCCCTATACCCTGTCATTGCAGCCTGTCACAATCTATCAGTTAACCAAAACCTTAATTGTCAGTACAACACTGGGTACTAATGATTTATATAGAGCACCCTGAGGCTCTATACTGACACACCGCACATTGTAACAGGGTGATCGACATGGGGTATAAATGACCCTACATCCGTACCGGCTACAATTCATTCTTTATTTTATACTTACCTTCTGCTGACTCTCTCTCCCCTTTGCTTTATTACCAGTGTGGGGGGCGGCTTTTTTGGTAACCTATCAGTCAGGGAAAGTGTTTGTGTAAGGGTTGCCCTCGAAGCCACAGTAGGGAGATTTATATTACACTAACTTATTTTCTCCCTCCCTGTGTAACCTGTTACGTCTTTCAATATAACGTGAGGTGCCAATGATTTATGTTAAGCACTCTAAGGCTATACACCAGCATACCGCATATTGCAACTGGGCAAATAGTCAGAGCAACCCAAGGTCTTTTACCAGCATATTGCAGATTTAAACGGGCTACCTGACACTCACTTTTGTAGTAATCAGCTGCGGACAATCTCTCCCCTCCGGGAGATCTGCAGTATACCCTCTCGATCTTGCATTATTTTCCTAGGCTTGCTATAACCTCACCAATCAGGGATACAAGGCTCGCTATAATGATGTCATTACAGCATCACTAAACTGCATGCGTGAGGAGCAGGAAGACTGAGCTCCCGAGAGAAGATCAGGGAGAGGCCCCACACCAGCTCCCAAAGGTTGGGAGCAATAAATGAAATGATTTGTGAGTGTGTGCAAGAATGTTTAAATGTGCGTGTGTCTGTCTGTAAGTGTGTGTCTGTCATTGTGTGTGTGTGTGTGTGTGTGTCTGTCAGTAAGTGTGTGTCTGACTGTCATTGTGTGTGTGTCTGTCTGTCAGTGTGTGCAAAAATGTGTAAATGTGTGTGTCTGTCAGTGTGCGTGTCTGTCTGTCATTGTGTGTGTGACAGTGAGTGTGTGTCTGTCTGTCAGTGTGTGCAAGAATGTGTATGTGTGTGTCTGTCAGTAAGTGTGTGTCTGTCAGTGTGTGTGTGTGTGTCATTGTCTGTGTCTGTCTGTGAGTGTATGTCTGTCAGTGTGTCTGTCAGAGAGTGTGTGTGTGTCTGTCAGAGAGTGAGTGTGTCTGTCATTGTTGCGAGAGTGTTTGTTGGTCAGTGTTGCGATGGCCGCGGTACGAAAGCTACTCCACGTCATATTCCAACATGACATCAACATGCTCCACCTTCACAGGTTTTCAAGGAGTAGCGAACGGCGCCATTAGGGGTATACCAAAGGATGGACTCCAGAGTAGCATACTCGCAGTGGCAATGTGAGTGGAGTCTGCTTGTTGGCTAATATTATTTTTGTTTTTTGTTTTTTAAACAAGGGTTGGGGTTAGTACAGAGTTGGGGACCTACGTTTCTATGAAAATTTAAGGTTTAGTTTTTATAAACTGAAAGCTTGTTTATATGGCCCGTGCTAGCCTTTGACATGCTTGTTTTAGGTTCTATGTGTGCTTGTGATCTGATCCTGAGACCATATGAGGCTAACGTAGACCATACATCTCTTGACCAGTTTGTGAAAACATTGTGATCCTTTACTTACTGTTCTTACCTGCCACCTGTCCTGAGTGAGTGTGCACACATGCAGCGTGGACGGTCACAGGCAAAAATTTACTAATTTATGGACTTATGGAAGTATTACTTTACTGAGAGGGTAGTGGATGCATGGAATAGCCTTCCAGCTGAAGTGGTAGAGGTTAATACAGTGAGGGAGTTTAAGCATGCGTGGGATAGGCATAAGGCTATCCTAACTATAAGATAAGGTATTTAGAAAATTGGGCAGACTAGATGGGCCGAATGGTTCTTATCTGCCGTCACATTCTATGTTTCTATGACTTTGTCTGATTTTAACCAAAAATAAATGTGTAGCACAAACCTCCACAAATAGTGATCCTGAATGAAGGTACCAGGTAAATGGATGACGTTTTAATATGTGGTCATTTTTAATTAAAATTCAGCTTATAATACTATAAATAGCTTCAGATACACTCTGACAAAACGTTGCACACAACCATCCGCAGATAATCGATTTCACTATTAACCTGCTCTCAGGGTATTTACTAGAGTGAGAATTTAAAGGGGACAATTTCATCTTATTGAAGTATCCCCATTAGTTCAAAGTAAATCTCCCATTTTCGTAGCTCCTGCAAAATTTGGGCAAATGTATTCAATCTGATTTATTTCTTTTTTTGCTACTGGTTTAGTCGACATTTTTTAATACCAGCCGTTTTTTTATGAGCAATGCAAAAGAATGATCAATATTTCCGCAACATTTTTTGCGACAGAAAATTCTTCTATTTCACTTTTCTTTTTTTGTTCCTCTATTTGTCGCGGCCTTTTCAAACATATATTTCAGCGAAAATTTGTAAAATTTCCTATGAACAAAACTGATTTTTTTTTTTCATTCACAAGTTTAATAAATATGATCAAAGTAATGAGGGAGTTTAACCGTCACTTTTCTGAACACTTTGATAAACAATAGCCAGCGTTAATATTGCTTACGGCTTCTAAATGTGTTCTGTCACAGTCCCCATGTGTATTTAATTTGAAATATGTCAAACAAGCCCCACAGACCACAAGCCTGCTTTATGACTAACCAATAATACATTTAATACTCCCTAATACTGCCTTTAATTCGAAGTTTACATGTGATGAGGCCTCTCTGTCCTTTAAGCGCAGAGGTCAAAGCGCTGTGGGAAGTGTATCTGATGCATTGACAAGCGTACAAGCTCCCCGCACCCCTCCCAACCCAGCCAGACTATTAATAGAGAAGATTCACTCTTATCATGTTACATACACAGCTCACGTTACAGTCCAGAACAGTCCTTAAAGCACAGAGAAAATTATTTTGGAGACTGCAGGAGTCAAAGAGAAAGAAAAGCAAAGAAAGGGCAGTCATATTCTATCCCAGAATTCTACAGATCTGGCCCATACGTGCAAACTGTCCTGACTTCCAATAAGAAGTCCCTAGCTCTAGATATCCTAACCTTATTTTTACAAATCTAAATTTCAGTTCCCCACAATTCTTGTCAGGATTACAGTTTGATCCAGCACGTAGAACTGTGTAACACAGAGGACTGATAGGTAACGTATACCGGACCTTAGAATGGCCGGACCAACGTACCAAAGAATAGTCAGGAATAGCCGAGGTCAAGGCACGCAGAAAGAGACACAACGATAAGGAAAAGCCAGGAGTCAGGGATGCCAGAAAACAGGGAAGTCAAAAACAATGCCAAAGTCAAATATCCAGAATAACCAGAATCAATAACGCGCTCTCGGACAACCACAGGGGAAACCACGACAGGGCACTGAGCAGGATGAGAACTGGGCCTAAATACCCCTCCTGTAAATCTGATAGGCTGTAACCGGCCTTTGACCCCAAAGGCAGTTACCAGGTTCCCGTTTGCATAATTGCTGCTCAGCACAAACCCTCCTGTGGATTTGGTTGCTGCTCGGCACAACTTTTCCTGTCTGAACAGTAAATTCCATGAATCACATTTTTATAAGCGGATGAATACGTGACAATTCTCTACTTAGTGAATACAGTTAAAAACACACTCTCTGTGCATGACTTTAGGAAACTGATGACTTCAAACAGGGGATTTTTATGAATCGCAATAGGCAGTTTTATCAGGTTTTCATGGAAATGTTCTGATAAAAGTGAGATGGGGCGCAGAGTTAGAGACGGGGTAAGTGTAGGGCACAGTGATATGGGATGGAGGTAGTGACCATGGTATAGTCAGATAGGAAGAGGGAGCACAGGAGTACAATGGGATACATAGGTTAGAGTTTAGTGATACAGGGAGATTAGGACACAGTAGTACAAGGGAATAGAGAGGTGACATAATATTGGTACAGGGGGATAGGGTATGGGGGTACAGTGATACAGGGGGAGAGGGTATGGGGGTACAGTGATACAGGGGGAGAGGGTATGGGTGTACAGTGATACAGGGGGAGAGGGTATGGGGGTACAGTGATACAGGGGGAGATGGTATGGGGCAGAGTGGTACATGGAGGAGAAGGTATGGGGGTACAGTGATACAGGGGGATAGGGTATGGGGCAGAGTGGTACATGGAGAAGGTATGGGGGTACAGTGATACAGGGGGATAGGGTATGGGGCAGAGTGGTACATGGAGGAGAAGGTATGGGGGTACAATGATACAGGGGGAGAGGGTATGGGGGTACAGTGATACAGGGGGAGAGGGTATGGGGCAGAGTGGTACATGGAGGAGAAGGTATGGGGGTACAGTGATACAGGGGGAGAGGGTATGGGGCAGAGTGGTACATAGAGGAGAGGGTATGGGGCAGAGTGATACATGGAGGAAAAGGTATGGGGGTACGGTGATACAGGGGGAGAGGGTATGGGGTAGAGTGGTACATGGAGGAGAAGGTATGGGGGTACAGTGATACAGGGGGAGAGGGTATGGGGCAGAGTGGTACATGGAGGAGAAGGTATGGGGGTACAGTGATACAGGGGGAGAGGGTATGGGGCAGAGTGGTACAT